GTGGAAACGGGATTTTTTTCACAATCTGGATACACAGAATTCTATGGGCTGCTTTTCTCAAGATTAAAATTAAATTCCTAAATCGGATTACCTGTTCCTCGGAAAAAAAGCTTTTTTTTTGCCACAGAAATTATTTGAAGAAAGTGATCTCACATTTATAAACGTATTAATGAGTCAATGAATATTTCTAGTGTTCTTCACACGGAATTTTATACTTGGGGTGGGGGTAATTATATTGGACTATGATTAAAGAATCGACCAGTAAAATTCCTATGTGATTTTTTGAAAACTAACTTAAAACCCTTCAAGCTATTGTCATAAAATCAAAAACTGAATTGAAGAAAATCAGAAAAATCAATCATTTAAACGCAGTGGCAGAAGATTAGGGTAGAATCAAAGATAGGCCTTATTTAGAGAAAAATATTTCAAAATTCTCGAAAGGAAAAAAATCCGTCCTATAGAAATAGATACCAATATGATAGTAACAAAAACTTCGTTCTGCGGGTGGAAAATAAGGTCGCACTGGCTTTACCATTAAAAAGGTTATGTCAGAAATTAAAAAAATCTAGGAAAGGGCTCTGGCTATATCTTTGTGATATAGTTTTTTCTTTTATTCAAAGGCCGATTTCATTTGAAAAAAAAAAACCTGTTGAAGGTCAAGATGAAATAATTATATCCATAACCCTTTAACAAGGCACCTCTCTGCTGTATAAACCAATTTAGGATGTCATTGATTTCTATGCCAACAAGTCGGCTGTTTTTATACTTTCTTGAGCAAACTCACTCTGTGCTATGGGGAGGACTAATGGCAATGCAAAAAAACACCCTCCAGTGTTGAAGTTGTTATATATGCTTTATGTTTCAGGTTCAACTTTAAGCGTCGAGGTTTGAATACCGCTTACACCGGCGAGGTTAGGCACTTTTCCATAACCTCTCATGAACAGACTCGATAAAACCCCAAGTCAATGTTCAGTCACTTGATGATTTTGCTTGCATTGCTCTTTACGGATCTTTGTTCTAGAATTTTCATAATCACTATGGCGACAAGTACTACATGTGATGAGCAGAAACATACTTTTTTTTGATTTCAAAGTCAAAATCAAATCAACCATCATATTGCCCCCACTGAAAGCCTTGCTCTATATTTGGGTTTTCCCCAAAGGTTACATATTTTTTTAAGGGATTTTAAGGGGGCAAAGCAAATTTTAAATTTCAGAAAGCATGCATCAATTTTTTTGATCTTTTTACATTTCAAGGGATATTGAGCTTTCTGCTTTTTGGGTTTGGAAAACCACAACCCTACATTATTTTAGACACCAGACACCCCGAAAAAAACCAAAACAAACAATGAAAATCTTTTTCACATGACCCCAGACGGAGCTTAAACCCACATTAGTGACCGCGAGTGGTTCGAAGTGGTCAAACATTACCACTAAGCTATGAAGGACTCCCAAGTCACATTGCATACAGACAGACATGTTACACATGGAAAAATGTATATCTTTGCAGCAAAGATATACATTTTTCCATGTGTAACATGCCAATTTGCATAATTAAACTTCTGGGATAAAAGATAACATTTCGCTTGCCCGGGAAGCAACATTGTCACAATATATACAAAAAAGTCTGATTTTTTTACATTTTTTATTTCTTCAAAAAAGCAAGTTTTTTAACATAATGTTTTAGTGAAATGGACAGTTTTATGTAATTAAACTAACTGTATTGCAATAGTACTTAATTGCTATTATACAAAAGTACAAATATTGACAAAAATATGGCATAAAAATACTTCTTTATGACAGCATATACAGTTCAATTTTTTATATAAATGTATATTTTTGCATGTTCTATATCTACTCACAAGTATTTAATAATACATGTTACATGTATATGAATTGAAAACTCGAAGTAAAGCAGTCACATAAGAAAAGATAACCCTAGAAAAATATGTTACTCCTTACATTCTTTTCTTATGTTAATTTCTTACATTTTGTTATGAATATATTTCACACTTATAATATACAATGTAACCTCTGTTGAGAGGTCCCTTTGTAGAACAACCACCTCTCTACAATAACAGTATTAATACTTCCAAAAGTAAGACTAAAATACCCTCTCTTGAGCAACACCCCTCAACAACAACCACAATGTCTGTCTCCCAGAGGGTGTTGCTAGGCAGAGGTTATACTGTTTATTTCAATTACTGTATCTTTAACTCTTTCCCTGCCTACAAAAGACGTTTTCCCATCCCACATGCAGAATCAAAATGTATACACTTATCATTGAAATATTAAATGACTGATATTATTTATTGACTTTTACGGTTTCTTTACCATATTTTTGGATTTATATTGGAACAAAAAATCCTTATGTCTTAACTTTGTATTATTTATTCCAAATAACTACAGGTTTTAAATATTTTATAATGAGTACTTATTATAGTGGATCCTGTAAAAATTTACCTTTCAAGTACATTGTAATTTCATAATTTAAGTTTTAACAGGAAAAGGGTTAACTTTTAAAATGTAAGCCTTAACATGTTAATGCAAGTCACAGTTTGAAAAATTGATTGGCAAACTTTATTTCAAGCATATTCTTCTTTGCCATTTAAACTTTTCATTTCCATCATCATTTCAGCTAAAAGTTCATAATATGCTTGCACCTTGCCCATATCTATTACCAAATAACAAAGTTAAAATGACATTTCAAAAATTTGACCTGTAAAAATCAAGGTCATATTTGGGTCAAGGTCATGCTTCAACACAAATAAAGTTTCTGTCCATTCTTCTTTTGTCACAAACTTTATGTCTTAAATGCCTATTTTCTGATCAAACTTAACACTTAAAGTTTTAGTATTTTAATGTTCATTTCCAACTACCAATGCAATATACATGTAGTGTCATTTTTTTCTGTTCAAACTAAGCACATATATCCCTTAACATCATCAACTGGTTTTAAGTTTCTTTTGTGGTGGCTGCTGTTTGTTTTTCTGTGCATTTATTCGTTCTTCTTTCTTTTCTAAATACTTCTGTACATTGTTATGTGGCTGAATTTTCTGGAGACGCATGGACAGTTTTGGACAGTCGATAGATGCTGAAATTGTAAAAAATTAAATTATGTTAAAAGTCCATAGACAAAATGATAGATCTATTATAAGAAACATGTAAAGTGGAAATATCTTCAAGTCCAATTTTGACTAAATTTTAATAATTTTGATTTTAACATTATACACATATTTTCATAAATTTAATTTAACAACTCTAACTTTCTATTCTTTAGTTTTTTAAATAACAATAGCTCCCTTTTCCTTTATAATCATGAAAATGATGGAATAAACATTTAGCATTTCTAAAAAGACTATCAATTGGTAAATGCCAGTGGCCATGATCAGTATAGACTGGTAAATGTCAGTGGCCATGATCAGTATAGACTGGTAAATGTCAGTGGCCATGGTCAGGTTTGTCAGTGGCCATGATTCAGTATAGACTGGTAAATGTCAGTGGCCATGGTCAGTATAGACTGCGTAAATGTCAGTGGCCATGGTCAGTATAGACTGGTAAATGTCAGGGCCATGATCAGTATAGATTGGTAAATGTCAGTGGCCATGATCAGTATAGATTGGTAAATGTCAGTGGCCATGATCAGTATAGACTGGTAATGTCAGTGGCCATGATCAGTATAGATTGGTTAATGTTAGTGGCCATGATCAGTATAGACTGGTAAATGTCAGTGGCCATGATCAGTATAGACTGGTAAATGTCAGTGGCCATGATCAGTATAGACTGGTTTTAAATGTCAGTGGCCATGATCAGTATTAGACTGGTAAATGTCAGTGGCCAATGATCAGTATAGACTGGTAAATGTCAGTGGCCATGATCAGTATAGACTGGTAAATGTCAGTGGCCCCATGATCAGTATAGACTGGTAAATGTCAGTGGCCATGATCAGTATAGACTAGTTAAATGTCAGTGGCCATGATCAGTATAGACTGGTAAATGCCAGTGGCCATGAATCAGTATAGACTTGGTAAATGTCAGTTGCCATGATCAGTATAGACTGGTAAATGTCAGTGGCCATGATCAGTAAAGACTGGTAAATGTCAGTTGCCATGATCAGTATAGACTGGTAAATGCCAGTGGCAATGATCAGTAAAGACTGGTAAATGTCAGTTGCCATGATCAGTATAGACTGGTAAATGCCAGTGGCCATGATCAGTATAGACTGGTAAATGTCAGTTGCCATGATCAGTATAGACTGGAAAATGTCAGTGGCCATGATCAGTATAGAGTAAGGCCAGCCTTGAAAACCAGCCACATAATTCGCCCCATTAAAGCAAAAAGGTACCAAGCGACATTTTGGCCAAAAATGACTTTTTAACATTTTCCATTATGTTTTAATGTTATCTTCAATCTGTAGAAATATCTCTGTAGTATCATGTTTATTTACAGACATATAAGGTTATGTAAAAAGGTACAATGTCAATATTTTCCCATTTAGTAATGCAAAAAGGTACCATATGTATACCAGTTTGAGCAAAAAGGTACCAAGTGTCACATAGTACCTTTTTGCTTTGATTGACTATATAAGTTTTGAGCACTTATTTTAATGCAAAAAGGAACCATGTGTCACATGGTCCCTTTCTGCACACAAAGAATTTACAACCCTTAAGATTATTTTATATATTAAATTGTTTGCTTGGTACCTTTTAGCTTTTTAATGAATACACAATTTAGATGTTGATAAGGACATCAAATATAACAATATATCCCAGATTATTGTTTCTGTTTTAAATTGAGGAATGATAACAGTGTAAAGATAATAATTATGTATAAATGACTTATTCACAAAAACGTGGACGTTAAAAGAAAAGTAATTGACTATACTCGTGTCAACAAGATACATGGGTTATATGGAAAGAGAAGCATGACAGGGAAGCGTACACCTGCAAATAAACTAGATTATGATATAGTTAAATTGGTGAAACAGCATAAAGAGTAATTTCCTAAAATGAAATCTCATTCTACAAGAAGAAAAAAACTTAAAATAACTGAATACCTATCTTATGACTATGACTTAAACATTAAAAAGATGTGGAAACTGTAAACTATTGAATGTGAAACAAAGGAAATGAAACCTGTTAAGCAATATACGTATAGGAAGGCAGTAGGCACACTAGATCAAGGAACCATATATTGAACATCAAAAACAGAAAGAAAATTCACAAGAAGTAAAGGTTAAAAATAAAGTTGAAACAAAAGGTGACACATGCGTTTAAGTTGCATGTTTTGATCTCAAGGCCGTTGTAACAACCCCTTGCTCATTAGTGAGTAAGCTTTACTATTCAAGAAAACTTTTGCTACACAACTTGACAGTATATTCCTTATGAGACAAAAATGTTGTATGTCATGTATGGGATAAAACAAACTGCAAAGAGAGGCATGTGAACTAGCTTCCTGCTTAATAAAAGCCCTTTTTTACTTGCCTGAGTGCTAATGTCAAATAAGTCATTATTTTTCAGATTCATACGGGGGACAAAACAGAAATTAATTCGTAGCTATGTCTCTTCTTTATATTATCACAAGTTCCAAATTTAAGATTGATCATCACAAATTTCTTGTATCGGGTCACACACAAACGGAGTGACAACTTGACTCTTGAAGGGGCAAAGAAAACAATTCCTGTATAATTATGTATCATTCAGTTGTGTTCTCTTATATCACTGTGGCCAGAAAATCACAGCCAAACATTGATGTGCCAATGAAATATAACCATGTTTTTCATTTCAAATACTTCATTAAAATAACAGTGTCCGAGACTCAAAACATCCATTGACAGACAAAGAGTAAACTGGCGACAGGTGAAATGGATGCAGGTACCAAAGGAAAGCCCAAAGTCAGTTTTTGTAAATAACAGCTTCAATGCAGAAGCTTTTATGGAAAATAGAAGTTCAAAATACAGAATCTAGACAGAAAGAAAGTATCCATGGACAAATGGTGAACAAGATATGAAGTTATGATATCAAAACCGCCAGTTTCTATTCAAAAGAAAAATAACTTGATTACTTTGTGTGCAAAGAAAATTATCCCAAAAGAGTTCCATAATTATAATGCCACTTAACAAACATACAGGAGTGAAAAGGGTTATGTCACGATGGAATCGGATGAGAATGATTCTGACTTTGACTCTTACAATGTAAGAGATTTTGACATAGGCATTGAGATTGATCACATAGGAAGACTTTCAAAACATGCAATGTGATAGTTGTATCAGACATTTACTGAAAACACAAGAATTTCATATTTTTATTTGCATCATTGTAAAATAAAGCTGTAACTAAATGATGCTTTATGTTAATATTGTTAGGACAAAAAGGTGCCAACTGCCATATGGTACCTTTTATTGATATATTCGACAGCAAATGTTTAAAATCATACAATGCAAAAAGGGGCCAAGCGATCATATGGTACCTTCTTGCATTTGTCGGTCAAAATATTTATTAGTGCAAAAAGGAACCATTGCGTTTAATTGATTAATTATCACTAATTAGTGATATATAAGTTTTCCAACTTTTTGAGCATGTATATTCAAATATTATCTAAATATATGTGAAGTTTCTTTGCCATGCTGGAAAAACCTGATTTGATATTGAACTTCAAATCTTTAAACGCGATTTTCTCGAAAACATGAAAATGTCACTTGGTACCTTTTTGCTTTAATGGGGCGATATATTATTAGTTGTTTTCACTTTTTTTGTATCAAAATCCCTTGTATTAACAGCTGGCAATTGCAAATACATAAGCAGGAAACGTCCCTTATAAAACATAAACATAGTAAGCATCACAGGTATATTAGCCCTCTAAGAATGCTTTCTTGGCACAGAGAAAGCAGTACAGCTTCCTTAACCAGTCTGCTTTTTAACCAATTAGCCAAAGTGACTACTGTAGAGCTTCCTAACATTCTAAACCACAGATAACACAGTACAGCTTCCTTTATCACTTCACCAAAATATTGCTTCCTTAACCACTTAGCCAGATACCCCATAGAACAGGTTCTTTAAGCACTTAGCCACAAACACCTCAATAATGCTTCATAAACCACTAAGCCACAGTACAGCTTTCTTTATCAATAAGTCATAGAGACCATAGCCACTTAGCCACATTAAGTCAAAGTAACGCTTTCTTTCACACTTAACCAAAATACTGCTTCCTCAATCAGTTAGCCACAAACACCACAGTACACCTTCTTAAACACTTAACCATAGACATCAAAGTACTTCTTCAATCATTTAGCCACATACAACATGGTACAGCTTCCTTAACCACTTAGTCACACACACCACAGTACACATTCCTAAACCACTTAGTCACAGACCCCAAGATACAGCTTAATTAATCACTTAGCCACAGACCCTAAGATACAGCTTCCTTAATCACTTAGCCAAAGACCCCAAGATACAGCTTCCTTTATCACTTAGCCACATACCCTAAGATACAGCTTCCTTAATCACTTAGCCACAGACCCCAAGATACAGCTTCCTTAATCACTTAGCCACAGACACCAAGGTACAGCTTCCTTAATCACTTAGCCACAGACACCAAGGTACAGCTTAATTAATCACTTAGTCACAGACCCTAAGATACAGCTTCCTTAATCACTTAGCCACATACCCCAAGATACAGCTTAATTAATCACTTAGCCACAGACCCTAAGATACAGCTTCCTTAATCACTTAGCCACATACCCCAAGATACAGCTTAATTAATCACTTAGCCACAGACCCTAAGATACAGCTTCCTTAATCACTTAGCCACAGACACCAAGGTACAGCTTAATTAATCACTTAGCCACAGACCCCAAGATACAGCTTTCTTAATCACTTAGCCACAGACCCCAAGATACAGCTTAATTAATCACTTAGCCACAGACCCTAAGATACAGCTTCCTTAATCACTTAGCCACAGACCCTAAGATACAGCTTCCTTAATCACTTAGCCACATACCCCAAGATACAGCTTAATTAATCACTTAGCCACAGACCCTAAGATACAGCTTCCTTAATCACTTAGCCACAGACCCTAAGATACAGCTTCCTTAATCACTTAGCCACAGACACCAAGGTACAGTTTTCTTAATCACTTAGCCACATACCCCAAGATACAGCTTAATTAATCACTTAAGCCACAGACCCCAAGATACAGCTTAATTAATCACTTAGCCACAGAACCTAAGATACAGCTTCCTTAATCACTTAGCCACAGACACCAAGGTACAGCTTTCTTAATCACTTAGCACATACCCTAAGATACAGCTTAATTAATCACTTAGTCACAGACCCTAAGATACAGCTTCCTTAATCACTTAGCCACAGACACCAAGGTACAGCTTTCTTAATCACTTAGCCACAGACACCAAGGTACAACTTTCTTAATCACTTAGTCACAGACCCCAAGATACAGCTTAATTAATCACTTAGCCACAGACCCCAAGATACAGCTTTCTTAATCACTTAGCCACAGACCCCAAGATACAGCTTAATCAATCACTTAGCCACAGACCCTAAGATACAGCTTCCTTAATCACTTAGCCACAGACCCTAAGATACAGCTTCCTTAATCACTTAGCCACATACCCCAAGATACAGCTTAATTAATCACTTAGCCACAGACCCTAAGATACAGCTTCCTTAATCACTTAGCCACAGACCCTAAGATACAGCTTCCTTAATCACTTAGCCACAGACACCAAGGTACAGTTTTCTTAATCACTTAGCCACATACCCCAAGATACAGCTTAATTAATCACTTAGCCACAGACCCCAAGATACAGCTTAATTAATCACTTAGCCACAGAACCTAAGATACAGCTTCCTTAATCACTTAGCCACAGACACCAAGGTACAGCTTTCTTAATCACTTAGCCACATACCCTAAGATACAGCTTAATTAATCACTTAGTCACAGACCCTAAGATACAGCTTCCTTAATCACTTAGCCACAGACACCAAGGTACAGCTTTCTTAATCACTTAGCCACAGACACCAAGGTACAGCTTTCTTAATCACTTTGTCACAGACCCCAAGATACAGCTTAATTAATCACTTAGCCACAGACCCCAAGATACAGCTTCCTTAATCACTTAGCCACAGACCCCAAGATACAGCTTAATTAATCACTTAGCCACAGACCCTAAGATACAGCTTCCTTAATCACTTAGCCACAGACCCTAAGATACAGCTTCCTTAATCACTTAGCCACATACCCCAAGATACAGCTTAATTAATCACTTAGCCACAGACCCTAAAATACAGCTTCCTTAATCACTTAGCCACAGACCCCCAAGATACAGCTTAATTAATCACTTAGCCACAGACCCTAAGATACAGCTTCCTTAATCACTTAGCCACAGACCCTAAGATACAGCTTTTTTAATCACTTAGCCACAGACACCAAGGTACAGCTTTCTTAATCACTTAGCCACAGACCCTAAGATACAGCCTCCTTAATCACTTAGTCACAGACCCCAAGATACAGCTTCCTTAATCACTTAGCCACATACCCCAAGATACAGCTTAATTAATCACTTAGCCACAGACCCTAAGATACAGCTTCCTTAATCACTTAGCCACAGACCCTAAGATACAGCTTCCTTAATCACTTAGCCACAGACCCCAAGATACAGCTTTCTTAATCATTTAGCCACAGACACCAAGGTACAGCTTTCTTAATCACTTGGCCACAGACCCCAAGATACAGCTTCCTTAATCACTTAGCCACAGACCCCAAGATACAGCTTCCTTAATCATTTAGCCACAGACACCAAGGTACAGCTTCTTTAATCACTTAGCCACAGACACCACAGTACAGCTTCTTTAACCACTCAGTCACAGACACCACAGTACAGTTTCCTTAACCACTTAGCCAAAGAGACCCCAGTACAGCTTTTTAAACAGAGAGATCCCAGCACGACAACTTTCACCACTTTATCACATAGAACCCAAATATAGACTCTCACCACTTAGCCATAAAGACCTCAATAAAGTGCAATACATGAAATATAAAACCTGTCACCAGACCCTGGCCCTGACATCAGCATTTGAGAAGTACCAGTATCATATATCAGCACTCAGCTTTTGGCCTAAGGCCAATATGACAACCCTTAGACATATTACATGGCCTATACAAAATCTGCAGAATAATGGCATAATATTAAAACACATCTAGACATAATCGTCTGCTATTATGATATCGTATAGATGGGATCATATCTTACTGAATAACAAAAGAATTATGCAAATGAGGTATAATAGAAAACCTTTAAAGAAGCTCCATTTGTCACATAGAAGTTTTTGCGTCTGATCTGCTATGCGTTCATTCACCTGAAATATATTAAACCAATGAAATACATGTGTTTTCTTTTATACACATATTCAGTGCATATATTTAAGTGTTTTACACGAACATGCTTCAAGGTCATGTCCAATACATTTTTGTTAGCCATAAATCTCCTAAAAAATTTCATCTTCTAAACATGTATGCACAAACACAAACATGTATGTTAGTATTTTACACATATGCTATAACAATGTAAGATCGACTACATATTCAAAAGCCATAAATTAATTAATCTTTTCAAATATTCTAATTCTTTTTTTACACATATGCATAAAATTTTGTATTTTTTGCGTCTGCTACAACAATTCCTATCTGATACACATTCATTGGACAAAAACAGATCAATTGTTTAAAACTGTCTTATCTTTTATGGTTTACACATATGCACATAAGACCTTGAAGCTTACACATATGACAGCCTGTACAGATTTATTATCTTATGCACTTTACATATATTGTAAACATATATTGTAAACATTTATTATGTAAACAAGACATTCAAAATGGTTTATCTTCTCATAATGATCAGAACACTGTAAATTATGTGAGAAGTTTATGACAAGATTCATAAGACTTTTAAAGGAACTCCACTGAGGTTTTAAAGCCTAAAAACATAAAATATGAGTTTCTTACACAGATCAGGTGTGGATGATATGCAAAAGATAATTTTAAAAATATACTCAAAAATAAGTTGATCATCATATTTTTCAGCTATTCTTAGCCCGATTTGAGTTTCAATTTTTGATAATTTTTCACACTTAGAATGATTGTTTTGAAAGAACTGAGTGAGCAAATGATCTGAAATTTTGCACACTAGTTTTTGTTCTAGACCTTCATCAAATGGAATGTAAATCTTAACCTCGAAAAATTATTTTCAGTCTCATCATGTCAAAAAACCTCAGTGGAATCCCCTATAAGTTAATACTGAATATCTTCAAGTGTTAATGAGATTTTAAAAAAAACTTAACCAAATACTTAAGTACTATCGCACACTGTGTTTAATCATCATTCTTCAAATAAGCAATCTAACAAGAGCTGTCTGTCTGTCTGTCTGTAAGACAGTGCGCATGACAGTTCTTAGTGCTTGACAGTACCCAAAGAGGCATAACTCTGTAAAAAAGGTAACTCAGAGTTATGGGACCTTAATAGATAATAATCATATTTTAGCGCTATTCTTATAATCCCTTAATTACTTTTGTAAAGTTTCTTCAGTTCTCTTAGAGATACCAAGCTGCCTGCAAAAACTTAACTAAAGTGTGACGCTGACGCTTAGTGAGTACACTACATCTCCCTATTCTGGATATGATAAAAAAAATCACCCCCCAACACAGTTTATCAATATATCCCTATTCTTGGAACAGTCAAGCTAAAAACAGATAATGGGTCAAAAGAATGTAGTACATTTTGGCTACCCTTGGTACTGCATGTGTAATCACACTCTACTGAAATCAGGACCGAATTTCTAAACTTACCTGAATATTTCCACGACTATCTTTTGTACACTCATACACTAGAACAGGTTTCTCTTCACAGTGCTGTAATATCCACACACTGTGATGATCACCAAAACATATATCCCAGGGTTCCTCTGTCAGTGTGTTATGGGAGTTTTCCGTAAGTGTGCAGCCATTTTTATGTTCTTCCACGGAAAAGAAATTCAGCTGTTTTAGTCTGAAATTATAAGAGGGTTAGTATTTTTTATATCCCAAATAGTACTTAGCTCTAATATTATTAGTACAATTAAGAGTCTTAAAATTTTACATTTTTAAATTGCACATTTTTCCGCCATTTTAACGTTTCGTAAATATTATAATGTCATGTTTGTGGTCTGTTTTAATATTTATCCTGATGAAAGACGTAAGCCGAAACTTTGAGAAGTAAAAACAATGAGTTTCTATTTATGTGTTGTTGTTGATTGTTTTATCTATTTATTAACACTTTTTTTATCAATAATATATGCCAAAATTTTTTCAGGTATATAAAAACATTGCTGAATTTAACCATATATTCAACCATAACGTATTATTTATAATTGTTGCATCAAATGTTGCAATAAATTTGTCAAATTAAATTCAATATTGCAGTATCTTGTTTTTCTTTGTATAACATTATTCACCTTCTACACTGCAAGTGACCTAGGTTTTAAATTGCAACATTTTCTTTAAAGTCCTGAATAATTAACTTCATTTGGACAAGTTTTATTTATAAAAATTATCAAAATTATGAAAAACGAAAATATTGTTAGTTCTATGACATCAGAATCAGTGTAAATGATTGACACAGACAAAGAAGAATTGAAAATTTTGAAAGATTTTTATCTTTTCTTAAAGGGATTCCACTGAGGTATCTTGACATGATGGGACTGGAAATAATTTTTTTTAGATTCATGTTCCATTTGATTATTTAAGTGTGGAAAATGAACTTAATTGAAGAGCATTGCAATGCTGTTCACTCAAATCATGATAAGTAAAGCTCAATAGTACAATTTTCAATTTATTTCTTGATATTTCATAATTATCTTCAACAAATATTTCTGTTGAACGTGCCCAAGCTGATCAATGTGAAAAATTCAAATTTTATGTTTTCAGGGCGCTTTTGGACATAGTGGAGTTCCTTTAAGCATATACTATATTAGGAATGATGCTCAATATGGCGACCAGGGGAGGTAAATAACAATATTTTTTAGCCAACAGCTGAGGACCAGGTCGACTGAATAGGTATCCTGTCATTACATTAGTGCACAAATGGTTAAAGTGATAAGACACTTGGACACCATTGTTTTTTTACTAAAAAAGTAAAAACTATAATTACCCATAATATATAACTGCTATAACATTTAATTCTTGACTATATATCATTTTCTTAACACCTGGAAGTTCATTCTGACCATCAACTTCTGTCTGACCTTCACCTTGTCCCTGACCTTCATCTTGTCCCTGACCTTGACAAACATCATTTGTTACCATGGGGACTACACTGCTATTTTTAGAATTGGTGTCACCTTGACCTTTTTTACAGGTATGACTGACTGTGTTTGTTTGGCAAATATTTTTTCCATCCAGGGTCCAACTGGCAAGGGTACCATCCTAAAAAAATATATAAATAAACAATCTGTAACAGCATTATAAAATGCGATACACATAAAAGAGCCATAACTCTGTAAAAACATACTAAATGCTATAAAAAAATGCAACAATGGGGTTGGCACAATTTCAAGGTAGCATATTTAGGGATAAACAACATGTACATGTATACATGAAGGTATCTCTAATCCTTATGAAATAATACATTTCATCCAAAGAAAACACAAATTTTTAGACTTGTTTGTTTGTTGAGTTTTACATCGCACCCACACAGCAGAAGTAAACATGGTATTTGGCAACTTTCCAACTTTACTTGTTTGATCAAGGAAGGGCACCAATGATATTCAGTAAGCTAGCTGGTCAAGGTTCCTCACAAGTCATAAAAGAAATCAAGATTCCCTGGCAGGATTCGAACTCAAGCAGCGAGGGGCAAGTGATTTGAAGTCCACCATATTAACCAATCCGGCCATGGACACCCCTCGGACTCGAAATCAATGGGCAACACTTTTAACACAAAAACTTTACATGCAGTAGTCAGTATTTATCTTTTTTCATCTTATAAAGCTGACAGTAAATGTGAAATTTAGATTTAACCTATATACCCTTCTTTTCGAAATGCTCACTTGCCAGAAATTAAATTTATAATATCCTTAAGGTTCAAAAGCTTTATAATATAAAATTTGAATTTCTTACATAGATCAACAGTGACACTTAAAACAGAGATATGCAAAAGATAATTAATAAATGTACTCAGAAAAATATTGAAAATCATATTTTTGAACTTTTCTTGGTTTGATTTGAGTGAAAAGTGTTGCAACACTTTTCAATTAAGGGAACATTTTTCACAATTAGAATTATTATTATGGAAAGACAAAGTGACCAAATGATCTAAAATTTTGTACGTAAGTTACTTCGTTATATAGACCTTCATCGAGTGGAACATTAATCTTGAAAAATATAGTTTCGTCATAAAAATAAAGTCTCTTTAAAGATCATGTAACTCATATTTTTTATGGTTTTATATCATAAATATGAAGGTCAAATGAAGATTTATTAATATTGTAACTTTCAGAAAGCATTATATGTAAAGATATTACCGAATATAACATTTCATGTTAAAGGGAGGTAATTAAAAATCTTAATTTCGATATTATAAAGTTGAAGCCAAATTTTTCAATAAGAAATGATGCATAGATTTTAATGATTACTTATAATGCGTATAAACATTTGCAGTACTTATTTAACATTATTCTTGGATGTTTGGTAATTGTTTAAGAAGAATAATTATATAGTTACATATATAAAATTTCACTTAAAAGTGTTGTTACATCCTAAACTACAACATAGTATAGTTAAATTTAAACAACCAGACTGATATGCAAAACAGTAAATAATCACCCTAGTGCAGTAATGAAAAAACACCTTTGAAATTTAATAGGAGTCAACCTGTTACTGCACTAAAATGATAGTTTAAGCCTAAAATTTTAGTTTTTAACATCAGTTGTCGGAGCCTTTCATTTAAACAGGTTGACAGAATGGTACAGGGTGACAGAATGGTACAGGGTGACAGAATGGTATAGGGTGACAGATGCACACAAAAATGCACCAAGTGACACCTTAAAACTATCCTGAGATATGCATTGTCTAAACAAAAACCAAGATATCAGATTTACAAAGGTAATTTTCTTTATACAATTCATTTTAAAAAAAAGGAGTTTCTTTTAAGGTTGTCACTTTTATTATTATGGTTGCAAACAATGATCTATGACACATTTTGTGTGAGGATTGCATCTTGTCATTATCGTTGTTTTAATTTTATATACTTTATAGTTTACATTCTTTCATTAAGATTTGCAGAGGTGAATTTAGATCCTAATATAGCTTTAAATATATAGAATATTGAGTCAAAAATTAATATCTATATTTCCAGCCTAATACCATCTTTGAATATAAAGAAAAATATTTATATTTTAATCCTAATATATCTTTGAATACAAATTTAAATTTTATATTTCAATCCTAATTTACCTTTGAATATAAAGTAAAATATTCACATTTCACTCCTAATATATTTTTGAAATATAGAATAAAATATTCATATTTCTGGCCTATCAAGTAAAATATTTATATTTCAATCCAAACAAAGTCATATACTTTTGAATATAGAGTAAAATATTGTTATTTCAATCTTAGTTTATATTTGAATATTTAAAGTAAAATATTCATATTTTAATTCATTTTGTACTTATTTTTAAAGATAAAATTATTACAATATTCCCCACATTCATGTTAATTGTGTTCATTTATCTTTTAAACAGTTTAGTTTAGTTTAATAAATTAATAAATATTCATGGATAATTAAATGCATTCATTTATTATTTTTATATCTAATTATAGCTAAGTTTGTCTTTTTAGTCATAATGCACTGTTAAAACTACAGTCAGAAATCCACATGTACTTTATAACCCTCAATAAAAAAAAAATTTAAAAAAAAATAGAATTACAGGTGAAAGTGGCTCAATTTACACATTTTCATGTAATTCTTTACTTGTATATGTTCAGTATCAACAAATTTCCAATTAAAACCCATTAAATGGACATCATAATTGAGAACTCTCATTTTTTAAACACTTCAAAAGGATCCAATTCATATAGCCAGAGCGGACAATTTGTTTATCTTGTAAAGCAAACAAATGAAAACAGAATTTCTCGCTATTCATACTGGGACCCTGTAATTAAGCCCTCTAAAAATAACCGAGCATGGAAAGCCCTATGGTGGGTTTTTTCAATCAATCACAACTTTATTTCTCAATATTTCTACCAGAATCTGCAATTTCACCCCTTGTTTAAACTGCAATCCCCAAAGCCTCCCACACAAATTTTCAAGTTAAACAATCAAGCGCACCACATGCAGATTTTTTTTAAACAACACAATAAATCAAGCACAGCAGGTAGAATTATATTTCCAAAACCAGTCAAACGAGAGAAGAAGAAAAAAAAACACAGAAAATACAACCAGTCTAACTGTCTAACAGTAGACTGGAACAGCCGATAAAATTCAAACTTCCATTTTTAATGATTGACAACCTCTGTAACAACAATAAAGAAACGCACTGGAGCTATAAAATGCTTAATTTACCGTTAATTAATTGCCGTATTAGTGATAAGAATCAAGGGGGAGATATGCAGCAATCACGTTCAGTTTGTGTCCCCGGCTCAACGATAGCCTCTCACAACCTTCAAACACACATGTTAATTAAATAGACAGTTAGAATGGAGATAAGATCACATTGCCTTATATGGAATTGCTTGAAAGGTAAACTAACGTGGGCTGAGAAACACTGGATGGGGAAACAGATGTACAAACGTTTTTACAAACATATCGGTCTCCGTGCTTTAATAGGAAATACTCGTAATACATAGAATATAAAACCATACATATGTCACATGACTTGGATTGGGCTGATTAGCATTACAAGATTAATGCTGATTTATGGGCATTTCTTTTTTCCCCCGTTTTTTTGTTTTTTGTTGGTTTTTTTAAATTTTTCCATCCTGCTTTTTATGTTTGTTTTTTTTTGCTGATTATATTTTTCTTCACTTGTTCTGACAACCTCATGCCATCTATCTTACATGAGAAAAAATTTTCATGTTAATGTTTTAACGAAACAAAATTTGAATCAAACATCCATTACTTGTGATAAGTTAATTTTTAGTCATTTAATACATGCTGAATATATACATTACAAGTAAAATATATGCATTACAAGTAAAATATATGCATTACAAGTAAAATATATGCATTACAAGTAGAATATATGCATTACAAGTAAAATATATACATTACAAGTAAAATATATGCATTACAAGTAAAATGTATACATTACAAGTAAAATATATGCATTACAAGTAAAATGTATACATTACAAGTAAAATATATGCATTACAAGTAAAATATATGCATAACAAGTAAAATATATACATTACAAGTAAAATATATGCATTACAAGTAAAATATATGCATTACAAGTATAATCTATTTAAGGTGGTACTCACATAAATGTCATTTAAACCAAGTTATTTTAGTAATAATTGTTATTCATTTAATCTTTGTGCATTAAATGTCGTTAATCATCATAAAAAATAACATATTTGAAAACAATGCCTTTGTAAATGATTGATTTTGAATAAAAATCCTAAAATTTTAAATCGTCATATCAAAGTCATTTTTTATTTTTTTGTCATCAAACTTTTGGAAAATAACCATACTCTTATTATCTGGGGAACCGTGTCTCAAATTTTTTATATCTTTTCTCAAAAAAAAATTACGTAACGTCAAACAAAATATGCGACTTTTTTCACCATACATATTACGTAATTAAAGATAATTAAGTCGCTGATTGAGCAAACAAAAATCCCTGACACGGTTCCCTCCGTAAATGAATTTCCTTTCATGTGCTTTAAACCGCATGTTAATTGCTTGATTATTAAAAAAGTTATGCCGATTCAAAGTTAGTCCGACCCGCATCAAACGAAGTGTCATATATCGGCTGTTCTCTCTCGGACCCCTACGTTTCACGCTAAATAATTGCATAATACACAAATATCGCACCAGAGAGGGTCACAAGTTGCGGTAACATACTCTAACAACATTTTATGACCCAGTGACATCTGACCAATTAAAAAGCTGCTGATTAATATCAGTTTATAGCCGAAATTTCTTCAATTCTTAACGTGATTTACTGTTCGTCTAGTATCTGTCGCACATGTCACGTGACTATCGGTAAAATTTGAGGCACTCAGTGGGGGCAAATGGAACGCATTTGCGCACCGCTAGCGGTATATTTAATTGTTTCCTATTTGAAGTTTATTATTATTATCATCAGCATTATTATTGTATTATACCAGTGTCACTCTGCCTGTGTATTCGTGTATGAAATTCCGTTAAAATATAAAATAAAATAACAAAAAACTGAGCTTCTGACAGTCTTTTAAAGTCCATGGTAGATGTACAAATAAGAACGGGATAGTATATATTTTTTCCACCAAATTGATAATGCTTCACATATTTTAATAAAAGGCATTACTCGATCATTATGATGTGGCCTTCTTGACTTCTATTATCATGAATATCATCTATGCACGGCATAGAGATCCAGTTTCTACCGGGATAGACAATAAATTTCATACTTTGTCCCAGATTTATTAGTACTGTGTCGGATTTACTGGCGAACAATTTATTTTCCCTGAGAATATATTTTAATATCTTTTTTTTATTCATAGAGAAATAATCATCCTTAGACAATCTAAAATGGTTTAGAAATTTGCCAGGGACACCTTACCACAAGTCATGTAAGCGTTCTCATAAAAAATGTCGTCTGTTGTTGTTTTACTTGACATTGTTAGAAAACGAGGTTGAGTGTAAAGTAAGCCCTTGAATCCGTACAAAAGTCTATCAACTCAATGTTATATATATCAGATTAACGGGATAGTTAAATTATTTTCACACATTATGGATATTTTAGCAACTACATTTTTAATCAACCCCGTGGTCGTGCGATTTGCCGCTATGCTTAATTATTTATGTTTCATACATTATGTTACGTACATTGGCCGACAATTTCTTAATTTATAAAAAAAGCTAAATGTTGAGATATTCATAAAAGATGTACGGTAGATAAACGATACATGTATTACGTGAAGTATGGACCAGTATGGACCTGTAATTCACGGATATATGGAACTACCGATTTCCCTCATTGATGCCTCAACAGGGGGCGGAGCGTTATCGATAATCGACAGGTTACGCGAGTAGCAGATACAAATAGTATAGGTACCGTTTTAAATCGTTTAAAAACACATTTTTTGGACTAACTGCTTCCAAAATTAAATCACGAATGTGTTCAGAAAAGGTTGATAAATCTACTTAGCAAAAAATCTCATTTTAGGTATTTTCAGTGATAATTGACTCCGTTGTCACCTTAAAGGTTTTATACAATGTGGAAATCATCTCACTATTTAACTGTTAAAGTGTGCAAAAAAAGTACACAACCTGAGATCAAAATCATATATTAACAAAATTAATATAACAATACAACATAACAAAAATAAATAATAAAATAAATAAAATTTAAAAAAATAGAAAAGGAAAAAAAATTTTTTTTAAACAAATTAATCTCCTTTTCGACACAAATTGAAATTTTATGTAAATTTTTCAAACAAAAATGATTCTTTTAAAAAAATTTAACTCGTATATCAATGAAACCCTTATAAATTTAATTAATTTTTTTTTCTCTTGAACAGATTTCTATTTCACACGCAACAAAAAAAAATCCGCGATACTGATCTGAAGCCACTAAAAATAATCATTCAACAATAATTAATGTTCATTGATACGATTTCAATGTAATACAATGATAAAATGACAAATTTGATAGTATCTATGAATTTTTAAACAAACTGAACACAAGGGGAGATAATGGCTGGCCTAGGGCACCAGGTTAGGCCGCTCACCCATGCAATCTGTACATACTCTGCATGGACTCTATCATAACTGCTGGCTCCTTGGAATTTTGATACTTTGAATATTTTAGTCTTTCAAAATAACAATGGACAATTCTGAATTAAGATTAGGACATGTTCATTAATTTAATGTAAGTATAGATTACTGCTGATGTATCATGGTTAAATTAATTTTTCTATTTCTGTGCTTCAACCTTTAAAATAAAGGCACCAAATATTTCTGGCTGGAGCTTCATTTAAACATACTGAAAAATGACCTTGATGTCTAAATAACTTATATGTCTAGTGACCTCAATGTCTAGATGACCTTGATGTCTAAATAACTTATATGTCTAGTGACCTCAATGTCTAGATGACCTTGACATTTATAACTGTCATTTGGGATGATGACCTTGTTTTACAAAATACTAATAATTTTATTCTGCAAGATTTAACTTAAGCAAAAATCAACATTTTTTTGTTATTCTCAAGCAAATTTTACAAACTTCAACCTTTTTTTATATCAATATTATGGTTCAACTAGACAAAGGTTTTGTTGTGGTTTTCATCACATGATACAAAATGTTTGAATGTGAAACCTATATTTTGTCAGTATGACTAAAAATTAAAAATACTTTTTTTTCAACAACTTACCCCAGAGCCAGAAACCAGGCAGCTGAATTCTTTCAAGTACAAAACTTGGCTCACGCACCTGTTATAATATAAAATACATGTACTGTGAATTCCAATTAATTTCGTGGACATGAAATTTCATGGTTTTGTCATAAGGAACATTTTCGTGGGTTCTTAAATTCGTGAACAGTTTTTATTTTACCAAAGAGTAAAATGTAAACAATTGGATGCTAAATAATCTTACAGCAGACGAAAAGATCGTTGGATCTAAATTTGTGGGTTGACGTCACTTATCCACGAAAACCACAAATTTTAGTTCCCTACGAATAAAAATGATTTTGCAGTATGTGACATAATAACCAGTAAAAATAAATCACTACCAATCATACAGTATAACCTTTGTAGAGCAACCACCCTTTGAGAGATAATGATTATTGGTTGTTAGTGAGAGGTGGTTGCTCAAGAGAGGTTTAAAGGAACTCCACCGAGTTCCAAAATCCTAAAAACCTAAAATTTGAATTTCTTAAAAATTGATTAGCTGGGACACTTAAAACAGAAAGATATGTGAAAGATAATTAATAAAACCAGGCAACTAACAGTTACTTCATTTGTCATAATGTATGTCCGTGAAGGATCGTCTTGCTATTTTCTTCCTGTTTATTTTTACAAAAATTTCAACACATTTTTTTCGCCATATCTCAGCAGTTGATCCTCCTCACCGGCTTTCCTGGATAACTAACCAGTAATTACTAGTAACTATTTCTCTGCAAGTGACCAATTAATTATCCCAAATAATTTCTGTATCACTGGTATAAGGGACAAAATAAATATTCATTAGTCTCCATGTCCGAGAACAATTGTCACGGAGAAATTACGCCTCTACCGAGGATCGAACCAACGGCCCCTGGCTTACTTATCCAATGCCTTTCTTACAGCGTTAAGCTGGTCTTGTTCTATACAAGTAATGGAAGAAATGCCAGAAGGTCAGTATAGTGACTTGCACTTAAAGTGTTACATAAATATGAAGTTTGACAAAATAAAAATGTTGTATATTTACTCAGAGTGTAGTAGACAGTAGGCATGTATGTTGTATGCGTTGGGGTAATGACTGATGCGAATTTTCTCGTCTCTGTCACATGTTATAATGTACTTGTCGTCACTTGACATAGCCTGTAAAATACAAAATCATATTCCCTATCAGAGCCATTGTTGCCTTTAACACTGCAAATTTTGTATGAATGGAGTCGCCCTTCTTTGAATATGGAGCTAATTACTAATGATTTAAAGTGTATAAAGCCATTATCTCTGCCGCCTGCAGCTTAAAATACATGTAGTCTGGTTTGAATTTCGAAAAAAAAAAATTCTAAAAGAAGTATATTGGTATATTTCCTTAAAAGTGAATGGCGCATTCATGAAATCATTGCCAAGTGGTTAAAAGCTTACTTAAAATAGCAGTATAATATTTTGTTCTGGAACATTTTATTCTTTTTACGTACAGTATTTATGCGTGTTAAATAATGGAAACATTGTATTTTACAATTCTGTCAAGAATTAACAATAACATTAAAGAAACAACATAATTTTTTGCCGTTTTATTAAATTTTATGAAAATTTTTCAAAACATTACAATTTTCAACTCGCATAAAATAGACGTTATCTGGAATTCGGCAAAGCGGGCTTTCATTATCCGGCTAATCTGAAGGTACAAACTTTTACCATTATAGCTTCACGGTGCACTAACCAGCACAATAGATTCAAGTCAACCTATTTCGCTTATTGTTGAAGCTGTTACTGTCACAGTCTGTTTGTACCTACTTTATTAGCTGGGAAAAACCCAAATATTCTTCATTCCAGAATAAGTCTATTGCCTAATTATGTTACTTACAATATCAAGTATCAGTGATAAATGTCCAAGAATTAGTTCTCCGCTGGCACTTGTATCAATGAGAGAGAACTTGTACACGTCCCCTGTCCGGTCAGCCACCACTACTTCTTTCTCGTTTTGTGGAAACGTGATTGCTGTGCATCGTGAAGGAACCAGCCTGAAATAAACAGAAAAATTCTTTGAATAATAATATATATAATCATATGTATCACCACATTAATATGTTTAACAAAATCACCAAAAGAAAACTAAAATTTTATTTCTTGGTACGATAAAAAAAATCTTGACAAAATGTGACCTTTACCTTTTGACCTACTAACCCAAATAGTTAAGTTTAGAATGCCACATTGTCAGAGACTTATATTACAGATGGATAAGAAGCTCTAAAAATAGAAAAAATTTCCAATCCCTTGAAACTTTTTTTTTGTTACTTGTTTTGATTACCATGACAACATGGCCCATAAATCCGTAAATGTTCTCGTGTCAAACATGGTCTCGGAAAATCTCAAAAATGTGACCTTGAGGGATAATAAATCCCTGATACGGATTTTAAGAGTATGACGTCATAGCTTCCTTTTCATTTAAATATAGCTCTGTGAAATTATATAAACAGTGACCTAATGACCTTGACATTTTGCGACTTTTCTACTTATTCTGACTTATTTCCTATTCTTCATTTTCTAACATCAAGTAGACTATTCAACAGTAAGATCATAAAGCAATAGCACCTAAACACAGAATGAGAATCCCTCAAATCATATTTTAGATACAGAAACAAGATGTCTATGTAATCTAAAAATAACTCAGGTCAATCCCCTTCAAATAAAGGGAGATCACTCTGACAGAAAGGTCAAACATTGATGGCTCAACTCTTCACATTGGAGGAGACATTTTGGCAGGATTATAAGCTCGTACAAGGATAAAATCATCTACGTTCATCAATATTTTACAGACTTTTAGTCTATATACATACACATTTACAGATTTTCTTGACCATTTCTGTCTTCTTAATTCAATAAGACTAGTCTGTAACTTGTAGTTAAGTGAAACATTATACACGCCTTTAGACCGCAGAATCACACCTGTGAGTATTGTTTTTATAGATATATCTTCATTTTAATACGGAGAGAAAAAACTGATACAGACAATTATATGAATTAAATCCCTTTTTTGACACACCTTCTGTTTTTGTCATGTTTTAGTACATGATGTGCATCTTTTTTTTTTTAAATTTAAAGTTTTAAGGAGAAGCAGTGTATAATGTTTGTTGATATTGGTTATATTGATAACTAAATGGTAGTGATGAAGATAAATTATATTATGATTAACTGATGGTTTATTAAGATGATGATGATAATAACAACTATCATGATGATGATGACAATAATGATGATAATAATTATGCTAATGGTGATAATGATAATAATGGTGGTTATGATTCTGGTGATGATCACATTATTTAAAGATGATGATTGTGATGATGATAATTTCAGATGATAATGATGACAATAATGATGATAATTATGCTGGTGGTGATAATGATAATTATGGTAATGATAATGTTCTTAAAAGAATATGATAGTGATGATAACCATAATGATAATGTGATAATATGGCATTAATGATGATGATGATAATGGTGGTAAAAATAACAATAATAATGAAGAAAAATATTATTATTCAGGTTTGATTTTCTGCCCCATTATTATTTTTCTTTTGACTTTCATTTCATATTCACATGCAAAATATTAGAAAGTTTTGCTATAACAAAATTACTGCAAATCTTAACGGCAGAAACAAAGAAAACAGAAATACATTTTATTTGTCCGTCACATCTCTTCGCATCAGTGTCCTCCATTTAATTATCTGATGAATCATTTTATCACTCGTTAAGAATTTTTTCTCCGAGATAAAATACAGGACTATTTGCTGCAAAGATAACGATGTTGGAACTACTTTCTTTTCGGTGTGATAAGACCAAACTATCATTCAATTAAGATCAATCACTGTTTTCGTATGTTATACACCAATCATTCAGAACTTAATTGTCCTGAAAACAACGTAAACAATATCATCATGTTGCTACGGTAACGCGGCTGTGACATGCCTGAGAGAATTGTCTTAAATGTGCGGGCATTTTTTTTATTCATCTTTTTTTGTCTAAATGTCTTTAACATTTTGATATCTTGATGAAGTTATTTTTTCTCTTTCTAGCAAAATTCAAATCTTACCTGCCTAAATTAAATGGACTTGACTTGCTTCCATTTTTGGAACTGTTCATTATTAATTTTGGGGATATCAAGATGAAAATTTAAAGTACTAAAAGTCAGTTGACAGATAGGGCCTGGTACTTGGCTTGGCTCTATACTGGTGGCCAAGGTTGGCAAATCTGTAACTTTTAGTTCAAGCATAACTTAAATCTTAATTTAATTGTACATGAAAGTATCATATCTCTTTTTAAAATTATATATTTTCACTGCAATCAAACTATATTTCAACATAGAAAATTTTCAATGTAAAAAATACATATGTAAAATAAATGGTAGTTAAAAAGCTCAGCCTAATCACTCTCCATTATTATCAAAAATATACATAATTACTGCCAGAACAAAGTTGCACATATTTGTGCAGGTCACAGTAAAACGTAACAAAACCCTTAAAATATTTTTGAATTATGTTAATATGAACATTGTGACACATGATAAATTGATGACACTATGGGGGATCAAGGGCACGATGTTTCATGGCAAAGTTCAATCAGTGCAGTTTCTGAATAGGATCTTTAATACTGTCGTCTGCTTAATTTTAAGGATTTTAATATCACAACCCTTCATATTAACAATGAAACGTTCCAAATTCAAAGCAGGACAAGGTCATTATACAAATTTAGGATGATTATTGGGTTATAATACCCAAATGTGTAATAAATCTTTCCCGTGAACTTCTGGTATCTGGTATTCGTATCTCATTCATTTGATGATATTTTCACATAAAAGGAAAATAAAAAAACATTATTGAAAAAAAAAAATTGATAAAGAAGGCAAGATGGGATTTCTATATTTGTAAATTTCTTAAAAGTCTGTTCGATTCACGAGAAATAAATGTCTTTTCCCGAACTTTGATACTTCTGCCAATATTTCTATCCAAGCTTCAATCTGCACCCATTCTTAAATGAAAATTGGTCTGTCAAATTACCACGGCAATAATTATAACATGTTCCCAAAAATAAATTCATCACACGCAGATGTGGCTTTAATGCCGCTGAAACAGAATAGAATACCACTCCATAACTCTCCAACTGCCAAAATTGGAAATATCACATTCCCGGAGAAAATTGATACTGTTTACCAAAACATTGCCTTACATCGTTGAGTAAACACGCTTTTCTCTCAGACTACTTATCATGCGGAATTTTTCGTATTTTTCATCCGAATATTCGTTTATTTTTCCTCCGTACACCATCAGCCGCGACGCGTATGACCGCCGGGAAGAAATTAACGAGAGAACACCACAGTGCATTTACACGATTAATGAATATTTAAATGAACCTTGAGAAAATTCATAACCATCGTGTCAGGCAAAACTGTATCAAGATGTAAGTGATGCATATTTATGGAAGGTTACGGCTCTTGTAAGTAATTTGTCTACGCCAGACAAGAAGCGAATATTGGTTATCAGCGGGACCGTTTCCCAGAAGCCTTTGCTCCGAAACCTATCAATTTTCCGTCAAAACTGATAACATTACATCTCGTCAAATACTTACAAATATAAACTTGTCGAAATTACTTAACAGTGCATTATGGGTTGATATATAAGTTTTTCAATGAATTGTAAACGTTTACTTCAAAGGCAGAAATTCGGTTTCACGTACAATGTAAACCTGTCAATCAAATTGATCAGGAAGTCAGCTATCAATTAATAAATGTATTGTTCTTCTTAAAATTGTTCTGAAAAAAGTTTCTTCTTTTTTTTCCAGAGACTTTATCAAATTAACAGCAAAAAGCATGTTTATGATTTATATGAGTTTCTTGACAAAAAATACATTAACTGCCTTTAAACTATTCAACTTTGAACTTGTTTTTTTTTATTTGTCAATCTGCAAAGGCATAAAGTAATTTTAGTAGAGGACTTTTTTATGATATAAAGTATACAGATTATATAGTAAAAGTTATAATATTAAGTGATAATACTCAGATTTTCCTGAAAATATGCTATTTTTACTGCCAATACAAATGATTTACTTTTTAGATTAATTGTGCATGGACAAATAAATAGTACACAATTTACAGATGCTGCAGACACCATTTTTCTAGACAGACTGTTTTATATCATTTCTCAGAACTGGCATTTACAAACAAACATTGATGACTGTATACCTTACTGTAGACATGGTCAGTGTAAATCCAGTGTCAAGTCAGTGTTTTACCAGCACAGTTTACTGTTATAGCAAATTTAAGCAAAATGTATAAACTTGACCTTGCTGTCAAGGACAAATAAATGTCAAGGTGAAGTTAAATTCAAAAACCTTAATGGTCATGTCCTAAACGTTGTCAAGTCAGTGTTTTAGCAGAACAGTTTACTGTTATAGCAAATTTAAGCTAAATGTAAAAACTTGACCTTGCTGTCAAGGACAAATACATGTCAAGGTCAAGTTAAATTTAAAAAAACCTTAATGATCATGTCCTAAACGTTGTTATGTCCAAGTATGAATAATATCCAGTTGTAGCATAATAATCAATAGAAATTAAAAAACCTGACCTTGAAGATTAAGGTCATTTATGAGTCAAGGTCAATTCAGTCTGGTCTATACTGAAAGGTGAAGATCAAGGGGTTCTTGTGTACAAGAATAAACACAAACCATTCAGAAATACAAAAAAATTAAATTCAATGATGGAAAACAAGAACAACACTATTCTGATACATTAACAACATTATTCCCTATCATTAGGGGTGTGGATCGTCGGGTAAGTGACGATCCGATCTGATCCACGATTCAGCACATGCGATTCACAAATCGAACCACAAATCTTTTGTTATCAAGACACCCATAAAAACATGAACATTAGTTCTGAAAACATGTTAATTTTTCTTTAAACAATACTTAACATTAATTTAATTATTCATTAAACATATATGCGATGCAAATATAAACTAGGT